CTATTGAACACAGAACACGTGTTATATTTTCATCAATGTCATCAAATCTCTCTTTTTTTTATTATTCAAAATCTCTATAAATATTTGCACGAGGAAATCATTTTTCAACGACAGTTCAGATTATTCTCTCGTTCTTCAAAATAATGAATTAAAAAAATAACGAGATTTCTTCCTCTATTTTTTTTTTCTGCTAAGATCTCCATCTCGTTCTTGATGAAATTGACACGAAGTTATTTCTGAAGGATAATTCCAAAATTTCTCTTCTCGTTTTTCAAAACCTCTGGACAACAACGAACAAGAACAGAAATTACTTCTCATTAATAACATTAATAAATCTGAAGTTTCAATAAAATTTATCCCTGATATTCACGAGACGTTGTTTAGTATTCATTAAACGAGCGTTAGCATAATAAACGAGCACGAATTTATTTACGCTGGGACCGAATGAGCGTTAAAACAATGCAATGCTTCTTTTTACTATTTCATATAAATGTATCCCCGAGTTTCGCTGTATAAATATATATCCTGCGTACGTAGGACAAAGAAAGTTTTTCCACGGGCAACCAGTTTCCTCAAGGACAGTGATATGAGCACGTTCGGATCAGACCAGAGTCGCGTAGCCATCTTTCAGATCCGATATAAATACGTTTGCCTCGCTTTCGTGAATTCTCTTAGGTCCGGTTAATCGGGTGCAATTACTCGTTCACCTTGAACCATCCCCCACCCCTAAGCGACGTGCATCGAAACGAGGTTCCATTCTTAATTTCGCTTTCCCAATCTGTGTGTGTGTGTGTGTGTGTGTGTGTCACTGTGTGTTCGCGTCGCGCGCTGACACAGTTGCGAACAAGTCGCCGTATAATTACGCGAAAAAACATTGAATAATCTATTACTCATGATTGCGTAATACGAACGTCTCTTTAAGCCTTCGATAATCATAATCATACAAATGACGTTCAACGTATGAATATTTAATACATGTATGCTTGTACGTATATCGATAGTGAATGACTTGACGTAAATACATCATTTCTTTGATCGATGGATAGTGAAAGATTGAGATCGTTTTATTTTGCACATTGGGCGAAGCTTACGAATGAGGGTGATTCACACTTTCAAAACTCTAACGTTCTAAATATCTCGTATATTTTTAGAAATATTGTTACATATTGTTACACATGTTGGTAGAAGAAAGATCACGATAATCGATTTATAGTGCTTTTCGTGTGTATCAGATCTTTTCGAAACTTGTTCTATACTATCGTGTGTATGCAGTTGGAAGTACGGATTGAAATATCGTTGTTCTTGTGAAATTTTTAAACTGTTCTCGAGAAGAGAAGGAAATCGCGATGATGTCAAAGTGGAAGTTTCCCATCCCGGAAACTTTCCACGGCGATCGGAGAAATACGTCTTATCTGTAAATTCCCGTGGGACGCATCCTCGAGGAAAAAGACGCAAACTTCTCGCGATAACTATATTCTCGCTTGATCAACGTGATGTGCAATCACGTGGCCACTGAATATCGATTACTTTACTGCACTGTGTTGCAACGAAATCTGATAATCTCTCACTAGAAGATGGAAACAATAAATTTTAAAAATATCGCAATGACATTTTTTAGTGATTAATAAAATTTCTTAATTTCATCGTACAAAATAAAATTTATCCTTTTTAGTAGCCTTGGCTTTTAATTCGAGAAAATTAATTAATTTAACAAAAGGAGAAGATTACTAATCAGTTGAATTGATTTACACAAATTTATCTACCATTTAATTTATTGCTACGATAATACATTAGCTATGGATTTAAGACTTCTCCTGGGTAAAAATTGTAATAAGGCCCAACAGCGATCTAGTGAAGGGTGTCACGTTCTTCAAAGATTCCTCGTGCAACTTTTTCACGTTAACACGCGTGGAAGTTGCACTGTTCGAGAATTTTCCATGCCGCTTTCTTCTCTTATTGTCACGTCGACGATCTCCAGTACTCCATAGAAATTTATCCGATTCTGAGATCATCGAGAAACATAAAAGCCATGTTAGAACGCGATAAGATCCTCGAAACGAGCCATATGAATCGCTACGATCTTCCGTCGTATAAATGTATAATTCAAACTTATTATAATTTAGAAGACATCTGAGAAAGTAACGACAATGGCGATATCATGTTACCGCTGGATATTTCAATTATTAGTCTTGCTGACAGGTAAAAGAGAAAGTATATTGATGGTATACCATCAATATGCATTCTCTTCTTTTCTTTTTGTAGAAAATGGTACATAACTTAGGTAAACTGAGAGAAATTTAAGGCAAACGATCCAATTTGATGACAAACTATCCACGATCTACTCATGGTGGAAAATAAAATTAAACGGAAGAATTATAATCCCTGATCTCTAGATCACTAATCTGGGAATTTGAGTTACACGATTGCACCAACAGATTTCGAGATAAAATATATATTTTTCTTTCTAGTGAAAGTTACATTTTATCTATGAAATAGTCCTACAAGATATGTCTCTAAGAAACTTTGAGGGGATCTTTCAAAATGAAATGGCTAAATCTCACGTTCAGCCAGTGCAGTTCACTACACATTGCTATTTATGACACGAGAATAGAGGGGTTGTGATCTAGAGAGTTATTTCAAGAGAATGTAAAAGAGATCTCTAGCTCCTTTGAAATGTATTCCTTCTTAAACAGAAAGAACCTTTTTATTTTAAGAGAATGTAAATCAAAGAAGAGAAAGATCAAGGGAATAGGAGAAATAAAGCTTACGGTGATAAATGGCGGATTCGGAGGAAGCTTCCACGGAGGCATAGTTACTTGAGTCCGATTTTTGGGGATGCAGGTGCAGCTGTAGCCGCGGGAGGTGGACGACGTTGGCCAGGAGGTCGAGAGACAAAGATCCCATATTTCCTGGGTGGAGGTTCCGGTGGTTGGGGCGGTGGAAATGACGGTTCGAGTATCTTGAACGCAACGTTCGTTTTTTGAAAAACATATTTTTCATTCATTGGTATTTTTATCTACGATAACTTAAGCAGTTAAGTTGGTAAAGAACGATCAATCCAATCTAATTTAAATAGGAACACGAAGAAATTTCCTTTAAATAATATTGCTCGAGAAATAATGTTTCTGATCATTCAAATATTAAATACTCTTTTAAATCTGACTGGAATGGAAGAGAATTATTTATCACAAACATCGCGTGCCTTTGATTACGTCACTTGTTGCTGAAGGAACACCTTTTGACTTATGCTCATATTTCACATTCTAGATAAATCGGAATCAACAAAATGAAATATCTAGAAACTGTTAATGAAATGCTTGTTTTTAGAAACAAGTTAACAGCGTTCTTAATACTGCAAATTAACTAACAACTCAAAAGATACACGCGCCACGCAAAGATGTAAAATATTCTTTACACGCTAACCGAAGAGAAAATGAAATACTTGTTGTTGCTAAACAGTGTAAAATTAACAAACATGCACAAAGCAAATGCAACATACAAAAATACGGGATACTCTTTACAATGTCTAAGAGATGAAATTCCACTTCTACAATCGTACTTCTAAATCTACACAGGCTTATGTACGTCAATATGTAGTAGGGATCAGAATCAATCAAGGATCATCACGAGCCACTATCCGAACGATACGTCGATACATTAGCTAATCAGTCTACGAACAATAACCCTAACAATAATACGGCTGTAATCGGATTAACCGACGTCAGCATTAACCCCTTCCGCGGGTAACGAAAAGCCTCGGCTGTTCCGTTGAATGCGTCTTAACTAACCGGAGAGTCCCATGGTTTTCCCCAATTTCGTTCGCCAGACACCCGAAATAACTTTACACGTCGCGTCCCGGTGGTCGCGAGTTCTCTAACAGAATTCCCGAACAATCTGTTCGTCTCCGTTTTGCCGGCGGTTTCGTTCAACGTTGCCCCTTCTCTACCCTACCCAAGCTGTTACAACGACTGACGGCAACCGGTAGTAAGAGGTAAACCGCCCTTCTCCGTCTCGATTTTCGTGACAATTACAGAGGAACAGCAGTCACGTAGAGGGAAAATCGGTGCGGCGCGCGAGCGCGTGTAGTTTAATTGAAACCCACCTTGAGATTCTCGGGCGAGGTTCTCGCCTGCCCTTCGCCAAGACACTGCTCCGCGTGTTCGTTTTCTCGGTCAGCGACGTCGCCCGCAGAACTCTCGCACGATTTCCCGCCGGACATGTACTGAAAATCAACTACGAGTTAATGATAATTTCGGTTGGAGATTTCGGTTGATACGGCGATTGACGTTGCATCTCTAAGCAGGTAGATAGTTTTTCGATACTTTCTTCACCACTCTCTCCAGTTCCGATAGCTTGCACTCGGCGTTGATCAGCTCCGTGCTTAGGCGCCGCATCTGGAATCGTCGCGATTTCATTTGGCGAAATTTGGCGAGGCAAGTACTCTAATTTTGCCGAAACTTTAATTCCAAGTTGTTTTTTTTTTTTTTTTTTTTTTTT